TTTGCTCTCACATTCAGAGGAGTTGCACACAGTAAGTCTGGGTGGCCCAGAGCTCACAGTCTCAGGCCCCCTGCAGGCCCCCAGCACCTCAGCATTCTCATCTGTGGTCTGGTGTTCACATTGCAGAGACAATGAGTGGGCTGCTGGGGACAGAAGGGCCTGGGTGTTGGAGAATTTGTGTGCAGCAGGGAAATATATTAGTGATACTACTGTTGGTCTTGCCGGCCCCCATGAGAGTTGTGGTGGGGCTCAAAATGGGTAATGGCTACAGAAAAGCTTTGGGAAGTGTGACATGCCACATAAATGCAGGGCGGGATTTTCATACAAGGCAGAGGAAAGGACCAGGACACAACAGGGAATGCCAACATGGAAGAGCACAGGCTAGCAGGGGAAATACGAAGGACTGCACAAATAGTTAAAATAGAAGACTCAGCACAGGCAAGTACAGCACCATATATCCCCGTGGGGCCAGCTCTTCCCCATGTTGGAATGAGAAATAACATATGCAAATATTACACGTCTAGGTAGCCTCTGACATTCTTATTCACATCTTGTCGTTGTCGTCGTCGTCTTCGTCTTCTTCTTCTTCTTCTTTTTGTAATGTTTATTTACCTTAAGGGAGAGAGAGACAGAGTTCAAACCAGGGGAGGGGCAGAGAGAGGGAGACAGTGGATCTGAAGCAGGCTCCAGGCTCTGAGCTGTCAGCACAGAGCCCAATGTGGGGCTCAAACTCACAAACCGTGAGATCATGACCAGCCAAAGTCAGATGCTTAACCGACTGAGCCACCCAGGTGCCCCCGAGCTCCTTGTCTTCTTAACAGCTCTTGCCTCATTGCCTCCTCTCCCCAGTTCAGCCCCTTCTTCCTATGAATGTGGGTCTACAGCAGGATTTCCTTTGTCCTGGGAGGGCTTGTGCATTAGGTTCCTCTTGCTGCTGTTACCAAATCACAACCATGGTGGCTGAAAATAACACAAACTTCCTATCTTACACTTCTGGAGGTCAGAATTCCAAATGTGACTCCCCAGCCTAGATTCAAGGAATTGGCAGGATTGTGTTCCTTCTGGAAGCTCTAGCAGAGAATCTGTTTCCTTGCCATTTGTTGCCTCTTGGAGGACACTTGCATTCCTCGGTTTCTGGACCCTTCCTCCAGCTTCAAAGCCATCAGTATTCAGCTAAATCTTTCTCACACTGCATCCCTCCAACCTCTGCTTCCACTGACACATCTCTGACTCTGACCCTCCCACTTATTAGACCTTCTTCTGATTACATCAGGCCCAGGTGGATAATCTCCTGAAGATCCTTAACACAATAACATCTGTAACATTTCTCTTGGCATGTAAGGTAACATCCACAGGTTACTTGGAAGGGGCATTTAAAAAAAAATCTAGAGGTTCAATCAAATAAGTTTTTTTTTTTTTTTTTTAAGGAGGAATATGAAATGCCCTTTTCTTCAATTAAGAAGTAACATAGCAGGGCACTTGGGTCGCTCAGTTGGTTGAGCATCTGACTTTTTTCTTTTCTTTACAGAGAAAGAAAGAGAGAGGGAGAAGGAGAGAGAGAGAGAGAGAGAGAGAGAGAGAGAGAGAGAATGAGAGAGAGAGAGAGAGAGAGAGAGAGAGAGAGAATCCCAAGCAGGATCCACACTCAGCACAGAGCCCAGTGCAGGGCTCGATTTCTGGCCATTGAGATTGTGACCTGAGCCAAAATCGAGAGTCAGAGCCTGTTTAAGAGTCTCTTTCTCTCCCTCCCCCACCTCTAAAATAATGAAATAAAGAAAAATAAATGAATAAAAATAAAGAGGGGTGCCTGGGTGGCTCAGCCGGTTAAGCATCTGATTCTCTTTCTTTTTAATTTTTAATGCTTATTTATTTTTGAGAGAGAGACAGACAGAATGCAAGTGGGGGAGGGGCAGAGAGAGAGGGAGACACAGAATCTAAAAGCAGGCTCCAGGCTTCTGAGCTGTCAGCACAGAACCTGACGTGGGGCTCAAACCCACGAACCATGAGATCATGACCTGAGCCAAAGTTGGAAGCCACCGACTGAGCCACCCAGCTGCCTGTGATTCTTGATTTTGTCTCAGGTCATGATCTCATAGTCTGTGAATTTGAGCCACAAGGTGGGCTCTGCGCTGACAGCACAGAGCCTACTTGGGATTCTCTCTCTCCCCCTGTCTCTCTGCCCATTCCCAACTCCCTCTCTCTCAAAATAAATAAATAAGCTTAAAAATAAAAATAAAGGTAAAAAAAAAATGAAGTAGCATAGCAACTTTTGTGTAAATCTAACAAATTCTGAAAAACATACCTGCCAGGCCCTTGCTATATCTATTAAACATCAGAGTTCCTGCTATCAGAAAGAGGAAACAATGGGTAGCAGGGAACAGACTCTGGACAAAAGGAAAGGAAAAGGGCTCAGTAGGTCGGTAAGTTGCCAAGTTGTGATATGTACTTTACTGGGAATGTAGGCTACGGCCCTTTGAAATGATTAGCTGCTAATGACTGTTCACAGCACTTGAACTGCTCTACATCACAATCCTTTGGCACAGTAGACTCAAACTTTCATGAAGCATTAATAGGAACCTTGGCTTTCTTTTTCCCCCACAAGAAAGACCCAAATGAAAATTAAAAAGGTGCTGCTCCGATAGAAGTGGGCACATTGAGCTCCTGGAACACTACTGCCAAACTGCAGGAACATGGTTTGAAACCTCCGTTTGGCGAAGTCATTTCCCTAAGTGGAACATCAAGAATAATAAGCTAGAAATGACCATTTGGAATATGGAGATTGGGAGAACGTCATGTTCCGATGCCATGTTGGGAGTTTTTCTCCTCGCTGCCGACGCAAAGAATGCGATGCTTCTTCCAAGAACTGACTTTCATTTGGACACTTGGTTTCCCCACCTGTGCCCTCTATCACAGGCTCTTCTGTGCCATAAATCTGGTTATTGAAGTTGCAAGAGTGAAAAGGCCAAAGGGCAACTTGGTGAACAAGTTGGAGCCTTAGATGAGCTAGCTCTGCCCCATCCATTCATCACATATTTATGGAGTCCCCATCTTGAGCCCAGGACTGGTTTAGATGCTGGGGACGTAATATGAACGTGGGCTTACCATAGGCCGTTCAGTCTGGGTGGAGCAGGGGACTGCACGGTGAACAAACAGGGCGGTCTGTGTGGGCTACCCCCAGCACGTGCTGTGTAGGGGTTCACGTGAGGAGCACAGGGGAAGCATGGGACGTTTTCCAGGGGAAACGGTGTGTAAGCCAAGGTCTCAGCGTTGAGCAGGAGTCAGCCGGCACAGGCCGGGGCTGCGAAGCCGAATGTGCAGTCTAAGATGGAGTAGAACCAAGCAGAAAGAGGGGAGTAGTGGGGAATAAGCAGGGGTAGATGGTGCTGGAGGGCCTGGAAGCCGTCTTCAGGAGCTCCCACTTTCCCCCAAGAGCTAGAGAAGCTATTACTGGGTCCTACGAAGGGGACAGACAAGGTCTGATTTATTCCTCCCTGGCAAGCTCCCTGACCTTGACTACTTCCCTCATTTCTTCACTGCTGCCTGGCCCATCCTTTAAGCCGTTTCCTGCTCTGGCCTTGCAGGTCTTCCAGCGCGGTCAGGGCGTGCAGCCCGCAGCCCCTTACTGGGGGTGTCTGTTAACTGGACGTCCCCGCTGCCCGGGCCTCCTGGCCAGTGCGACCTCTGGAAATGAGAGATCAAGACGACCTTGGGTCAAAACAGAGCCGGACTGGCAGAGGGTGGGCCGCGGAAGGGGCCCTGGGGTTGGTGGGAGAGCCGGCGGCCTGCCCAGGAGGGGAGGCCGGCGGGCCCCGCGGTCAGCGCGGCCTCCCCCCGCCCCGGGCCACGACCGAAGCTCACTGCTCTTATCGCGTCTCGGGGGTCTCGGAGGAAGGCTGGCCGGCCCCGACGGCGAAATCCGTCTATTGTTCCCTCCCGGTACCCAGAACCGCTGCTCCGGCTGCAGGCCGCAGCGGACCGCTCCGCCCCGGCGGCCGGAAGCGCGGGCCGGGCACTGGGCCACTGGGACCGCGGGTCTGCGCAGGCGCAGGCGAGTCGGCCCGGGAAGGCGGGCGCGGTCGGAGGTTCTGCGGCCCGCGGCTGCCCTCTCGTGGAAGTTGGGCGCCACGGCGTGGCCGGAGCTGGCCCGGAGCGGACCCGCGAACCCAGCTCTGGGCACTCTGCCAGGTGCTGTGTTTTTCCAGGTCCGCGCAAGGGCCAAGGGGAACCCTGCGTGTTTGTTTGATGGGAATGGATTACTGGAAAACTAGACGGAAGGTACCCTGCAAATCAGCATGCACTGTATTGTTTGGGAGTCAACAGCCTGTAAAGTAAATGTCAGGTGATAGCAGTGCTGGGAACCACCGCCCGCTCCCCGACCTTGAGCAAGGCGCAGCTGGCAAACAACTCTGCCGCTCAGGGTAGCGGGAAGGGGTGGCAAGGAGTGGAGACTTAGAAGAAAGAGCTAGCTGGGGCCAGCCCACAAATTCCACTCCTGGACCTTTAAGGGGGTGGGGGGTGGATACCACCCACCGCTCTGCCCACCCCAGAAAGACATAGTCTGTATGGACTAGTCACACTTCCAGGGAGGAGAGCTTTCTGCAAGGTGGGGGTGAGGGTACAGGGGTGGCTAGGGACCCACCCAGTCACAACGACGTCTGAAGGGCGACGCCAACAAGGGAAGATTTAGCTGAGAAGGGTGAAACCCCACGGTGGAATGAGAATTATGTGGCCCAGTCTGTTTAGGGAGCCAGACGGCATACAGTTCCCTTAAAATTCCCCGTCACTAGTCGCGTGTGCTGAGTCCTCCCCTAATTCCTGATTCTGAGTTGTCCTTTATCTCCTTGCGTCCCACCCTGTTCTTGTCTCAGGCAGTTACTTTGGAATGTGTTTCCTCTCGTCAGAGATAGAAAGATTTGTCATGAAAATCGTCACTCCCCTCTGCCTCTGTTCATTTCCACCTGCGTTTCTCGGGCTGTCTGCCAGGGAATAGCTTCTTTAGGGCTTTTCCTCTTTGTGGGCTCTCCCAGCTCTTGGCTCCATCCCCACTGATGGACATGATCCACTGGCCTGGAGTTTTGGTAGGAGGAGAGTAACTTGGGGAATGGAGGTATGAACCCTCAAGGGCTGTGCCACTTTTGGGGAGGTCACGCATTCCAGTAGAGGGTATTTCCTTTCCCCGGCCTCTGAACGTGCATGCTGGCTGCACATACTGGGTTTACTGTGTGAGCTCACCACACCTGCTTCTGCATAGGTTATCAGAGCACTCTGTGATAGAGGGGACTGTAAGCGTTTCCTATGGAGGGAGATGCCAGTGACAGAACATGTGTCTGAAAGGCTCATGGTGTAGACTCGTGGTTGTAGACTCTGGGTGGTGACATTGATGTTCCATGTTCTTCAAGAAATGTCGAGACTGGGTGACCTCTTGGGAGATCTAAGTCCTCACCACACAGAGGGGCAAATTGAGACCCAGAGAGGGGAAGTAACTGTCCCAGATCACCCAGTAGATGCCTCGCTGTGTGTTGGGTGCTATGGGGGACACAGACATATAAGAGGGGGACCTGCCTTCAGAGCTTGTCACTCAACTGGGCAGTAAGACATGCCTTGTGGCATCACCTGTGTATGTACGTCCGTAATTTTTATGCACATTGTCTTCCTCTCCAACCTCCTCCAAAAAAAAGGCTCGTAGAAAACCCTGATTCTGAATTGGTGCAAATCCCTTCTGCAAAAGGCATCTCAAATCCAGTTGCTGCTACTGTCTTATTGATGGACCTCATGCGGTGGCCTTGGGGAGGCAGTGGGCAGCCCAACCAAAGCCCATAATAAGGAAAGAAAAACCCAGCATCCATCCTGCAGTGAATAATAGAACACAAAGCTTCAGGTGCCTGCAGGATCAAAGCACAGAGGCAATAGTATCTCTGGGTTAAACAGCTCAGCGGAGCGGGCTTGGACAGGTGGTGGGTGCCATGGACTTTCCGGAAGGGAAGAGTGGGCTGTGGAGGAGGCTTCAGGTGGAAGGGGGATTTCTGTGCCTTCTAGGACACTCTCCTTTGGCCGTCTTGGGCAGGGGGAGAGGAGTCTTTCCTCCACCCTCCTCCACCACCCTTACCCCCAAAGCCTGAAGAGATGGAGGTGGGGGGGGGGGGCAGGTGAGAAGGAAAGATGCCGTGCAAGAGAGATCTGGTAGGAGACACTGGATCCCTGTGCTGAGGCAACACTGAATTACTTTCCAGGTCTCAGTCTTTTCTTCTATAAAATGAGGAGGTTGATACATGACCTTGAACTTTCTTCCACCTTTCTTAAACTGCTTTTCTTTGAAAAGAGGCAGAGAGAGTCTATGGCTTGGGCTTCCTGTCCACTTACTCCTAGGCCATGCAGAGGGATTGCCGTGATGGTGTCAGGTCCACGTTCAAACTCAGTCAGTGAACCCCCTTTTCTCAGAGGCAGCAGCAGGATGGCAGGTGAGGAGCATAGTGCTTGTCCCCTCACCCCACCTGCTCCCACTTACTGGTAGAGAAGCCAGCCTCAGCCTTACAGGGATATTTTGGGGATGAATTATTATTGGGATCTTTACCTTATTTTTTACCAGATTTTGTGATGATAATGTTCGTGTTTGGGTCTTTAAACCCACATGCCATTCTGGTAGAAGCCTCTGGTACCATGAAGTGCTCTGGGGAGTTTTGCAGGTATTTATCTTGGTCAAGAAGACCCCCGGGGTCCTTAACTCCCTCTGAGAACCACACCCAGACTGCTCCTTGTGAAAGTGTGAGTGAGTGAGTGTGACCACGTGTGCCCTGAGTCGGCTTGAGTCCTCAGCCTTTTGTCTCTTCTCCTGAATAAACCAGTGGAGGCGGTAAGTGTATATAATTCGAGAAAGGAATGTGTCAGTCAGGAAATAACTATTTTATTAGTGAGAAGCTCTTGATGACTGGGGGCCGATGGTCAAGGATGCCCTCTAAGATGTAAATGGGTATGGACTCTGCTCAGTGGTCGCTCAAGGCACAGACGTTTTCTGGGTGGGAAGCTCTAGTCCCTGAACCTCTCAATCTGGGTAACCAATTGTGGCAACAGATTTCTGCTTGAAAGACAACAGCAGTGGTCGGAGAGAGCAGGCAATAAGGATTCTAGTCCTGCCACCTCTCTCTCCCTGCATGGGATCCGTGACTACCCACTTGTACCCCAGAACACAAGGAAGGGCACATACTGTGTGGCCTTCTTTCCCCCACCAACTCCCACCCCAAGCACAAGCGGCAAATAAGATTACAGAAGCCGTGGAAGGCAGCATTTGGAAATGTAAAAGATAAGCGTGCACAGGGTAATTGAATAGTATTCTGCTGAGAAACGAGCTCTCAGAGCTCATAATCAAGCCGATGCTTTACCAGAGGGGCTCTCCCCTGCCTTCCATTGCAAACCCAGCAGGGCTAACCCTTTGGTTTGGTCTTTATTTGAGGACTCACTGGAACAGAGAAGATTGAACTAGCCACCTGCGTGGTAGGTAAAAAGCTCCTTGTCCCCGGCAGTGTCCAAGCAGGGGATGGAGGGGTGGGCTGAAGCTTCGGGTTGTTAAGTGGCTTATCAGCACTGAGATTCTGATTCTCCCATTCTGATTTTTCAGACTCAACCATCTGGTATCTATCCAGAGCATACTATATGGTCAGCAGCAGGCTCAGGTCTATGCTATAAAAATACAAATTAATAGTTTATGCAGCGCTTAGTATGCCCCAAGCATAAAGTGCCTTCCATGTAGGAACTGATCTGATCCTAGTAGCAGCCGTAGGAGGGAAGTGCCAGTGGTGTCTCCATTTTACAGGTGAAAAAACTGAGCCACAAGACTTGAAGTGATTTCCCCAAGTTCACTTAGCTAGGAAGGAGACCCCGGGTTTCAGACTCAGGTGACAGAAGAAAGTATATGATGTACACACTGATAACACCATCCCCACTCACTTGAATTCACCATCTTGTGCGGGGGGAGCAGAGACTCTGAATTTTGGGAGATGGGGGAAGGGAGATGATGGATGAGACCCAGGGTTGAAGGACACCCCAGGCCCTTTTTGTCAATCTCCCCCACCCTGGAGGAGGCCGGGGATGGATATTGTCTCCTGGAACCATCATTCACAGATGTGCTGGCAACCCCCACCCCTCCAAGCCACCTTCCTCTCCCTCTTTTTTCTCTTTCTCTGGTTATCGTAATTATTTGGGAATTTACAGAATAATCCGTCACCAAGTCCTCCAGAACAAATTGAATGTCAGGTTTATAAAACAACCTAATAAAGCAGATGGCATTACCCACTGGTAAATCTCTTCCCCATTTCCTGCCCCACCCCCTACCCACTTCAGTGTCTCGGAAAGCTGACAGATTATCCATTTACAGGCAGATTAATCCTGAACAGTATAAACATGGGGAGAAAATTACACTTTCTTGTCTCCATAATTGATAAGAAGGACTCATTAATCTATAAAGCCCAGAGGAAAGGCCCATCTGTCTGCCCGGGCAGACGTGGGGGTGTCTGGGAAGGAAGGAGTCCCGTCCATCTCTCTTGTCTGTCTGTCTGTCTGTCTGACTTCTTATCAGAAAGCACTTTCCCAGGGGCTGCCTGCCTCTCCCTGGCCTGGACAGCCAGACACCTGCAACCTTAGATTCCTTCCATCCCCGTCCACGAGGCAGGCAGGGTTCAAGGTCCAACAGTTCAGGAATCCAGGCCAGAGAGAGAGGCTCTGCCATCAGCTTTCTTCTTTGCAGAAGCTCCGACAGAGTCTGTTAGCCTCTCTCTGTGGTGATTCCGCAAGTTTGCCGCAGGTGTCCACTCTCTGGCCCTTGAGGGGGTTCCAAGAGGAATTTGTTCAGTCAGATTTTGATTCAATTCCCTCCCTATTCTCTACCATTATTTTAAAACTTTTTGCAAATTTACACACTTCCCTCCCCCGCCATCCTCCTCTTCCGGCACCTTCCCTGGTAGAGGCAGCTGTGAGGCATTAATTGTCTCCTTGAGGCCTGTCAGAGCTGTCAGGAAATGTCACACCGGCCAAATCCTCTCTGCAGAGGGATGCGAGTGGAGAGAGGGTTTCGGAGGAGACTCTGCTCCAGAAACAACCACCCCCCTCCCAGCTCACAGACATACAGTGACACGGCCAGCAAACACCCCCATCCTCACCCCTCCAACCTCACCTGCGGAATTCGGGGCAGGCTGCTCTGCCTCGGTGCCCGTGACGTCTAGAAGTGGAGATGGAAAGAGCATGGCAGGTTGGGTGTACTTATCTAGGGTGGGGGAGAGGGTCCAGGGGAGTTCCTGGCAGATCCCTATTTGGCCAGAACAACAGTGTTGACCAGTGCGACCTTGACTGAGAGGGAGAGAGAGAGAGAGAGAGAAAAGGAGGAGGGGGAAAATGAGATTGGGGAGGGTGATAGGCAGAAGAGGCAGCCGGGAAGCACTGAAGGACCAGGGAGTGGGAAGATGGGGGATGGAATAAAGGAGGAACGGAGAAGTCTATGATAAGAACTAATTCTTGCCTGTAGGATGTATGATCTGGGAATCTTTGTTTCCTTGCCCTTTATTGTGCTGCCTCTCCTAGGGCACGGCAAGGGTGCCGGCCTCCAGACAATAGGGCACATCGTGTGTGCATCCCCCAAACTTTGTGTGGACCCGCACTGGGTACCCAGAGCCCGAATGAGTAGCAGAAATGTCCCATGGGCGTATCGTGCTTCACCAAACACTTCACACCCACCACCAGACTAGCCTTGGCCAGGCGTCTCCTAAGAGGTAGGCTGTGGGAGACAGTGCTGTGGACTGAATTGTCATCACCCAGGGCTGCTTCCCTCTGTTGGCAATCAGAAGTGCTCCAGTCTTTGTCTTTGAACTTCAAGCTCTTTGCACAAATGACACATGCTACTCCTGGCTGGGGTTTCAGGATGGCTATAACCGGAGTTTCCCAAACTGTGTCCCGAGGAGCACTAGTGGGTGCCTGGCTGTTCTTTGAGCTCCATAGTTACATAAATTTGAAGATGCTGGGTCAACAAAGTCAATGTCATTTCCTCTGTTTTACTTTTTTTTTTTTTTGTCCTTCTCTTCTCTACTCTGGCTGATTTTTCTCTGGTTCTTTCTGTTTTTTCTTCTTGCCCTCTATATTATAAAGCCTTAATTGTGGGTTTGACACAAGTCTGGTGAAATTGTAAATACTAACTCATTTTTATTTCATGCTTTCCTTTTTAAAATAAATCATTAGGTTCTACATATATATTTTTTTAAATTGACAATTATAGTCTTAAAGAAGAAAAAAGAAATGGCTATGACCCTAAGATCCTGAAAGCTTAGAGGTAATATTATTCCATTTTCATTTACTAATTTTAGTAAAAATCATTGCAACATGAATTGTAAAGTAATGATATGTAAATTATTTAGAGAAACCAACAAAGCACTTAATTTTAGCCCCTTAAAAGTAGTAATTAATGCTGGATAAACATCTAAGGTTTGGAGGGTTAGTTTTAATTGGTACAAGTTTGGGTGAGAAGATGAAATGTTTTTGCTTCTTCTATTTCTAAGAGTCTCAAACTGCTTAAACCAATTAACTTGTTACTGTCTAAAGACGCAGCTTTTTTAATAGGAAAAACTGAGTTTCTTTGTTCTGCCACCGTATTTTCATAAAGTGACAAACCGGAATTAGTCTCCACATGGTGTCCAAAGTGCAGCAGTGTTTTTATGGTTTTGTTTTTGCTTTTTTCTTGTTTTGTTTGCTGTTTTAATTTGTGAAGCCCCTTGTTAGACCTCCTCAGAAGATACAGGGAAAGGGAGAAGGGGTTTTCTTGCCCTTAAATGATAGGACAGAGTGAGAAAACATGTCCCTTCTGGAGACATGTCATTAAGGATTTCACAAAACAGGGGTACCTGGGTGGCTCAGGTGGTTAAGCCTCTGACCTCAGCTCAGGTCATGATCGCATGATTTGTAGATTCTAGTCCTGTGTCAGACTCAGTGTTGACACGTTGGAGCCTGGAGCCTGCTTCAGATTCTGTGTCTACCCCTGTCTTTGTCCTTCTCCCGCTCATGCTCTGCCTCTCTCTCTCTCTCTCTCAAAAATAAACATTAAAAAAGAAGAATTTCACAAAACAAAGCCAGATGGTTATTTAAAACACACACACACACACACACACACACACACACACACACACACACACTCATTTGAAAAAGGTAATGTGAAGTGAAAGAGCCCTGGAGAATGAAGAGCTGAGATCTGCATGGTCACACTGCATGGTTTTGCTTACACTGCCCCTATGTCTAGACTGCCTCTCCTGCACTCCCTGCTTATAGCCACTCCCAGGCATCTCTTTCCCTTCATCACCTTGGTAGAACTGACTGCTTCCCTTCGGGTCCCTCACTGTATCTGCTTCAGGCTCTTGTTAATATCTTATTAAATTTTTATTGTATTTTGTGTTGGCAGTTTCAAGAGTCAAGAAGTTTAATGAACTCCAAACAGGATAAAATTAAAGAAACCACATATAGACCCATCAGAATCAAACTGGTGAAAATTCAGGTGAAGAAAAACCTTTGAAAGCAGCTAGAGGAAAAACTACACTTTACATATAAAGGAACAAGAGTTCTAATGACAGGAAATTTTTCATTAGAACCCTGAAGGTCCCGAAGACAGTGGAACATCATTTTTAAAGTGCTGAAAGAAAAGCACCATCAACCCAGAATTCTATAGCCAGCAAAAATATCCTCCAGGTATGAAGTCAAAATTAAACTATTTTCACATGAAGGAAAACTAAGAGAATTTGTCACTAGAATACCTGTTTTGTAAGAATTGTTAAAGGGAATTTATCATGTTGAAGGCAAATGATAACAAAAGAAAGATGGGTCTTGAGGAAGGAAGAGAACAGAAAAGAACAGAAACAAATAACTGGGTAAATATAAGAGACCGTTTCCCGCTGCCCCCCCCCCCCCGCTTTTAAGTTTTTAAAACACATGTTATCATCAAAAGTAAAGATTACATGATGATACAATACAAATGACAATAACATAAAGATCAGTTGAGGGGAATAATAAAGGAGTCTATATGATTGCAAAACTTCTACATTTTACTCAAACATGAAAGTATATATATTTGTAATCTCTAGAGCAAAAAGTACAAAATAATACAAAGAGATGTAGCCAAAATGCCAATGACAAATTAAAATAAAATGCTAGAGATGCCTGGGTGGCTCATTTGGTTAAGCATTTTGATTTCGGCTCATGTCATGATCTCACAGTTGTGAGATCAAGCCCCACATCAGGCTCTGCACTGGATGTGGGGCGTCCTTGAGATTCTCTTTCACCCTCTGCCGTTTCCCCTCTCTGACTTGTGCTCTCTCAAGTTCTCTTTCTTTCTCTCTCAGTCTCAAAAAGTAATTCGTAAATAAATATGTAGATAAGTAAATAGATAAATAAAAATAGAATGCTAAAAAGTATCTAAATAGTCCCAACGAAGACTAGAAAAAGAGGATAAAGTTACAAAAATAAAGGAGAAAATAGAAAACAAATGGTAAAATGGTGGAATTAAATCCCCAATATTAATAATTACATTAAATGCTAATGGTTTAAACCCTTCAATTAAAAGGCAGAGAATAGATCAAAAGGCAAGTCTCTATTATACACTGCCTTCAGGTGACATACCGTACATACAAAGATACATGTGGATTTAAAGTAAATAGATACCATGCAAATAATAAGCATAAGAAGGGTAGAATGGCTATGTTAAGATCAGATAGAATAGGCTTCAAGATAAGGAGTATCACTAGAAATAAAGATGGACATTGCATAATGATAAAAAGGACCATTCATTAGGTAGGTATAATACTTATAAACTTATATGAACATAATAACAGAGCCATCTCAATCTTAGGAATAAAAACTATAAACAGGAATGAACTTTGATACACAACATGGATGAATCTCAAATAATTTTTAATGAAAGAATCAAGCAAAAAAACCTCACGTATCATATACTCCTATTTCTATAAAATTCCAGAAAATGTACTCTATTCTATACTGACAGAAAAAAAGATCATTGGTTTCATGCAGATGGAAGTACAGGGAGAGATGGGTGTTGAAGAGCACAAAGAAACTTTTAGGAATGATGGAAATGTTTGTTATCATTTTGGTGGTGATGGTTTTATTTGAATGTACATTTGTCAAAACTGAACAAATTGCTTACTTTAAGTACATGCAGATAGTGTACATTAGTCGTATCTCAGTAAGTTTGAAGAAAAATGAATGCTTAAAAAAATCAGGTATTCACAGCTCTAATTCCAATCTACTACTAGAGGATTCTTCCTCTCCTTTCCCTCTTCCTTATGTGTCTCTCATTCTTGTACAATAATTCTCCCTAACAGGGTTTCAAGCACCTTGGTTCTCAGAAATATCAATATATTTACTCATTTGCTCATTGTCATGATACATACAAAATAGTTTTGGAATGGCAATACCCATACCACCATCAAAACAATACTGTTGGATAAAGTTCAACATTTCTTTGCCATTCTTATTTTTAGAGAATGTCTCACTGAGAATGTACAGTCCAAATATTATGCTCAAAAGTTAATTGGGGGGGCGCCTGGGTGGCTTAGTCGGTTAAGCGTCCGACTTTTGCTTAGGTCATGATCTCGCGGTTCGTGGGTTCGAGCCCCGCGTCGGGCTCTATGCTGACTGCCAGCTCAGAGCCTGGAGCCTGTTTCAGTCTGTGACTCCCTTTCTCTCTGACCCTCCCCTGCTCACGCTGTCTCTCTCTCTCTCCTAGAAATAAATAAACATTAAAAAATTNGTGCTGACTGCCAGCTCAGAGCCTGGAGCCTGTTTCAGTCTGTGACTCCCTTTCTCTCTGACCCTCCCCTGCTCACGCTGTCTCTCTCTCTCTCCTAGAAATAAATAAACATTAAAAAATTTTAAAAAAAAAGTTAATTGGGTTGATTTTTCCCCTTCTGTATAGTTATCTTATCAATTTAATATACAGATAGGTTCATTTGTTTCTGTTTACATTCAACTTCAGGGTCTTCCCCGCCCCCCAGCCCCCCATGTTTGGTGATTTAATTTTATTTTGTGTGTAGTAAAATATTTACTATATTTACTAATATTTATCCAAACCATAAAAACAGTACATTTGAAATAGTTTCTGTCCTTCTTCCTCCTTGTTTTCAATCACTCCCTGCAGGTAACCAATTTCACTGATTTATTCTTCCTACGTTTCTTTTACAAAAATGGGCATGCATTCTTATTACACTTTCCTTCTTACAAAATAGAGCATATTATCCATGCCTTTTACATAAAAATATCCTGGAAATCACTTCACATCAATTTGTAGAGAAAATTTTCAGTTTTACAGCTACGTGTTATGCCAAGGTACAGATATACAATGACATTCTACCTATCTGTTCTGCGTCTGCATATATAGATTGTCTCCAATATTGTTATTATAAACAAAGCTACAATGAAAAACATTGTGCACCTTTTGTTTCCTATTTTTTGGAGATGGAGCTTCAGAGTAAATAAGTGTAAATAGGGTTATTGGGTAAAAAGTTAAATGCATATATAATTGTGTCAGATACTATCAAATCACTTTCGTGAGGTTGCACCATTTTGCATTCCTGCCAGCGTTAACTTCAAGTGTCTCTTTTCCCATATCCTTGTCAACAGAATGTTTTAAGAAGTTTTGAAATCTTGCCTATCTTTGAGCTGTAGAATGGTATCGATGGATTTTTAATTTAAAATTTTCATATTCTAGTGATCTTTTTATATATTTAAGGAGCTCCCCCTCTCACCCCCCCCAACCTCTTCCCCTTTTTTTTTGGTTTAGTCTCTTTGGGCTTTTTCTGCTTGATTTTTATGAGTTGTTTACATAATAAGATATTAGCTCTTTATCTGTGCTATGTGTTGCATATATTTTCCCAGTATATAATGTGTTTTAGACTTTGTTTACGGTGATTTTAGCCATGTAAAAGGTTTCTTTATGTAGTTGAATTATCTTTTATTGATTTTGGATTTTGAGTCCTAGTGAGAAAGCCTTTTCCCAATCCAAAATTATGAGGCAATTCACCTGTATTCATCTAATACATGTGTGGTTTCATTGAGACATCAAATATGTCTGATCCATTTTCAGAGTGTGGGGTATGATTCCAATTTTATCTTTTCCAAATGATTATCCAGTTGTCTCAACATGCTTTATTTAAAATTCCATCTTTTTCTAGTCATTTGAAAATGACTAGATGCCACCTTTATCATAGAATACATTTTCTTGTGCACCTAGGCCTGTTGCTATATTATTTCTGCCATATTATTTCATATTTTCCATTTATTCTATGGTTTTTTTGTTTTAAATTTTTCTTCTGTTATGGTTCCCATTACATAGATACATTTTCTTATACTTATTTAAAAGTTATATCTTCCACTTTTATTATTATGGTGGTTATCTTCAGTTGGAAACCTGCTCTTATGTTTATGTGCTTGCTAATGTCTAAACTCTTAGCTTTGAGGGTTATAAATATGTGTTTTCTTTTCTAATCTTTTGTTGATACTTGCTGTTTTAGAATTTGATCATTCTTCCATCAAATTTCTTTTGCAGTATTTTCCTGGATTTATTTCTTTTTGAGTGCTCTTTCAAGAGAGTTATCAAAATGGGATTTTGTGTGGTAACCCTCATATGCCTGAAAATATCTTGGTGACATTTTTGCATATAAATGATAATGTGGCTATATATAAAATTCTAGGTTCAATGTTCTTTTCTTTTAATACTTTGGAAATATTTCTCTGTGTGTTCCTGTATCCAACATACTGTTAAGAAATCTGATAAAACCTGAGTCTTTAACTTTTTTTTAGATGACTTGCTTTTCTTTCTGGAAACTTAGGCACTTTTTTGTATCTTGGATTTCTTAATTTAACTAAAATATATCTAGATGTGAGTTTTTCTTTTTTATCCTATTTGGGACTCTGTAACTCTTTTCAGTCTGGGGTCTTTCATCTTCTATTCTTATTTCTGCAAATATCTCCTCCCCTCTTTTTTCTCCCACTTTCTTGGAATTCCATTATCTGGGTGTTAGTACTTCTGTGTGCTTACAAACTTGTCTTAGAGTTACTTTAAAATTTTCTATCCTTGTATCTTCTCTGCTGCCTTCCAGGAGAATTCCCCAGTATCATCCAACTTACACATTCTCTCTTGAAATTTATCCATCCAGCTATTTATGTCTTCTGTTTATTTCAATTATTATTTACACACAATCTTTCTATTAGTTTATTTATTTTTTGTTTATTTATTTTTGAGAGAGACAGAGACAGAGTGTGAGAGGGGGAGGGGCAGAGAGAGATTGGGAGACACAGAATCTGAAGCAGACTCCAGTCTCTGAGCTGTCAGCACAGAGCCCGACATGGGGCTTGAACCCAGAAACCGTGAGATCACCACCTGAGCTGAAGTCGGATGCTTAATCAACTGAGTCACCCCGACGCCCCTCTATTAGTTTATTTGTTATGTCTTCTACCTATTTCACCTTTCAATGGTGTCTCTTTTGTTCAGAATATTTATTATGCTCATTTTAAAATCCTGATCTATCTGTCCCAATTATCCTGCTTCATGGGATACGTGATGCTCAGTTTGTTATCTTCTTAAAGTTTTTAAAATTTTATGTATGTATGTATATATGTATTTGAGAGAGAGAGAGAGCGCAAACGGGGGAGGTGCAGAGAGACAGAGGGAGACAGAGGATCTGAAGAGGGCTCTGTGCTGACAGCAGAGAGCTCAATGTGGAGCTTGAATTCATGAACTGTGAGATCATGACTTGAGGTCAAGTGGGAGGCTTAACCAACTGAGCCATCCAGGCACCCCTGTTATCATTTTTAAAAAAGTGTTATTGTTCCCAAGCTTCAAATTATGTTGACCTATAAACTTATGTTCCCTTGGGGATACAGTTATTCTGGTGTAATATGTAGGGGGAGGAGCTGAAATCCTAGTTTATTACCTTCTGGTGAATTTAAAGAGGAGGGAAGGGGTTGAGCTCCAAGGCAGAGAGCCCCTGGATAAGGGAGCACCCAAGGGCAACTGGAAGCACACTACTGGTCCCATTAACTCTTACTCCAGCAGAGTTTTAAGATTTCTCTGATAATTTTGGAATCCCAGAGGTCTGGGCTGTGATGCTGATTGTCCTAAGTAGACAGTGGTCATCTCAACATAGCTCGTGTGTGTGTGTGTGTGTGTGTGTGTGTGTGTGTGTGAGAGAGAGAGAGAGAGATAGGGTGGTGAGACTATGGGTATGGGTATGAGTGGGTGTGGGTGTGAGTGTGGGTGTAGGTGCGGGTCTGAGTGGGTGGGGGAAGGGCATACAGGAGCAAAGCTGGAGAGCCCACCTAATCTCCCACTGGGGCTTCTCACCTCTGTTCCTATTCATCCATCCACCTGTCCCTTTCAGACCCACAACTATTCTCAGTTTTCAGGCACTTTCTGTCTCCCAGGGATTTCTCACAGTTTTATGTTTAGATCCACAGATACATGACTTATTTTCTCTACTCTCATCTCTCCAACACTAATTTTGGGTGAGGAAGCTAGCAGCTTATGCTAGTTTGCCATCTTTTCAGTAACTGGTGACTCATTCTTCCTGGGTAAATGCTCAGTCTTGGAGATGTCTTCTCCTTCTCCCTGGTCCTCTTTATTGTGGGTGATAAGACCTGATGCTGCCATGGGGAGAAGGATGTCCTAGAGTCACACAACATCATTCCCAATTGCCTGCTCTCTCCTGTGGAATGGCTGGTCTAGGCTGGTGCCTGGCCTGATGACCCCTGAGACCCCAACTAGTTGTTTGGGGCCTCATGATGGAATTCACCATTAACATCTCTGGTCCAGTTTTGTGACTCTGTGTGGGAAGCATCAGACCTCAATGTTCTGCTGGCTCATTGGCCCACCAGGCAGCTCTGAGTTTGTTCAACAGGGCACAGGGAGGTCCTATGTCATCCTTGCAGGCCAAGAGCAGACCTAGCAGGGACCTAAAGGTGGCCTCAGGCTCATTGATGTAGCAAGTACCCTTGACAATGACTGCTTCTCTGCTCTCTGCCAGTTGACTGCCTAGCTGCTGGGCTTCTCTTAGATTGAGGTTTCCAGTCTCCCTGAACCTATTCCCTGAAGAGGGTCCTGCTGTCTTTCTATTATTCTTGGTCTCCCCACATCTATCTAGATGTTTCCATAGTGTTTCCTCTAACCATAGCCTACAGAATTTTTATAAACTTCTTTTATGACCTCTTTCCCTCTGTATCATAAGTATTTATGTTTCTGTCTCCACAGCAAGAACACAAGCTCCCGTAAGGCAGGTAGTGTTTAATGGTTTTCCGTGCATTGCTTAGTGTCTGGCTTAGGGCTTGGCATAAAATAAGCATTGGATAAATGTGCATTGAGTCAAACTGAATAACACAAGTTAAAAAGAGACAAGTGCTTTAAAAGAGGTGTTTGGGGGAGAAAGACATTATTTATGTTTGGGGAATATGAAAAGTTCTCTTAAGAAGGTAAAATCTGAGGATTTTCACTGATGGAAGGAAAACACTCAAGGTACACAGAACATCAGGAGCAAAGGCATAGAGACGGAAAAGCGCAGCTTGGTTTTTTTCTTGAGTTTCTTTGCAAACCCCTTATGCAGCGCCGTGGACATAAGTGGCAGGAAGAATAATCTACACTGAGTGAGACAAAATTCCTGTCTCCTCTTTCCTTCCTAGGAAGGTGAACCAGGAGCTGGGGGTGCCCAATGGTCATAGAAGATGAGATCAGAAAGAAAAAATGGGATACCTGGATGGCTCAGTCGGTTAACCATCATCTTTGGCTCACGTCATGATCTTGTGGTTCGTGGGTTCATGCCCTGCATTGTGCTCTGTGCTGACAGCTCAGAGCCTAGAGCCTGGAGCCTGCTTTGCATTCTGTGTCTCCCTCTCTCTCTGCCCTTCCCCTGTTCATGCTCTGTCTTTCTCTCTCTCTCTCTCAAAAATAAACATTAAAAATTTTTTTAAATAAAAATTTAAAGAAAGAAAGGAAAGGACATTTCTTTGGTATGGAAATGTCCACAGTTACCATGTTTCACATCTGGGTCTTTCAGTCAAAGTCCCCGCAGGAGCTGAATGGCACACCCAGACAATGTGATCGTGGAGAATTTCAGGAAGGAGCTTTTCACAAAGGTGTGAGCTGTTGATGGAAATCAGCATGGAGTGATCAGGCACCTCAGGACCAAAGATGGCTCATCCCAGGACCTGAAGGACAATGGGAGAGAGAGACATCCCAGGTGAGGGGCTGTCCAACAGGAGCTCTGCCTCTTCTACAGACACTGCCTGACTGTGGGTGTGCACACATAGATGGACGAGCACACGCATGTGCATACCTGTGTGTGCACCTGTAGGAGGGAGACAAGCCCTCCAGCCTCCTTCTCCTGCTGCCCTATGGCACCCCCTCCCCACACGCACACCAGTGCCTGCCATTGGCCAAACCCAACTGAAAGCCTCCAGGGTTTCAGAGCAGGTCATGGAAAGGTGGAGAGTGGGCTGCAGATGGAGAGGATCTGGTATACACCGTCTCACTTAATTTGCACAATGATCTGAGAAGGATGGCTGTAACTATTAACATCTGGGGATTATAGACAAAATAAAGCCTGAGAAGTTGACTCTTCCAGGATCAACGGCTATGCCAAGGAATAATTGGATCTTTATTGTCTATAGGAGCAAGTATTGTTGTTGTTGTTGTTGTTGTTGTTGTGTGTGTGTGTGTGTGTGTGAGCAGGGGTAGATGGTGAGGACGAGGGACACACAGCAGGCTGGAGCCCTCATTGGCCGCCTTGAAAGGGAACCCCTGGGAAAGCCAGGGGGCGCATTATGGATCTAGGGTGGACATTGTGTATTAGGATCTAGACACTGGGACTTGGAAGCATGGAGAACACTAGGGCCCCAGGCCCAAGCAGAGGCGATAGTGGTGTCAGGAGGAATAGTGAGGTAGAGTGGGACTCTCAAACTTTCTGGTATGAGGAGTCCTTCACACTCTTAAAAAGCATCAAAAGCAGCATTTCTTTATGTGGGTTGTATTTCTTAACGCAATCTTTCCTGTATTAGAAATCAAAAAAGACATTTATTTTAAAGCACTTGTTGTCAGTGTATTAAAAATTAACAGTAATAGAGTGGTTGCATGTTAATATAAATCACACTGTCTTACGAAAAACATTTTCCGAAATAAAAGGAATTTGTCTGTAGAGTGGCATTGTTCTACATTTTTGCAAATCTCTTTAGTGTCTAAATGGATCCCATCTCCTGTTGCAATCAATCTGTTGGGATATGTTGTTTTGGTTGAAATACGTGAAGGAAGCCCAACTTCACCCAAATGTGCAGGTAGGAGTTTTTAATAGTTTTTTTTTTTTTTTCAGAATTGTGGCTATTCATTTCTGATCCTATACTAAAACTCAAAAAAGGACAGTTTCTTTTACATTTTATTTATTTATTTTGAGAGGGGGGACAGGGGAGAAACAGAGAGCGAGAGCGAGGGAGAGAGAGAGAGAGAGAGAGAGAGAGAGAGAGAATCCAAGCAGGCTCCCCGCTGTCAGCACAGAGCCCGATGTGGGGCTCGATTTCATGAACCTTGAGATTATGACCTGATCAGAGATCAAGAGTCAGACGCTTAACCAACCGAGCCACCCAGGTGTCCCAATAAAGGACAGTTTCTTAGAGGTTATTTGCGATGCAGAATTTTAAACCATATCAATGAACCTTTCATACTCAATTGTATGCATTGTATGAAAATGCATTGGTGATTCTTCTACTCCCAATGGCCCTTTTATCCATATACCATCTTGTAGAATCATGCACTGGACATTTGGAAAATATTATTTCATTGAGTTATGTGGATCTTCCAACTGTTGACACATTTCATTATACAAGACTTAAAAAACCCCATCAGACTTGTTGTTATCACCACTGACCTCATCAGGAAGGATTTTAAATTTTGGGAAGCTGTCCAGTTCATGGTGACAAGGACACATTTTCCAAAATTCTAATTTTCACATGAAAGCCAAATTTTATCCTTGCACACAAATTTGTCAATTGGTTTAAGTGACAGGCTCATTTTGTTCACTTTTTTTGTTCGTTTAATGAAACCAACAACTTTACTTTCTTATTAAATGTTTTTAACGTTTATTTATTTTTGAGAGAGATAGACAGAACATGAGTGGGGGAGGAGCAGAGAGAGAGAGGGAGACACAGAATCCGAAGCAGACTCCAGGCTCTGAGCTGTCAGCACAGAGCTCAACACGAGGCTCAAACCAACAAGCTTCGAGATCATTGCCTGAGCTGAAGGAAGATGCTTAACTGACTGAGTCTCCCACATGCCCCAACCACTTTTTTTTTAAGTTTTAATTTTAATTCCAGTTAGTTAAAATACCGTGTTACTATTAGTTTCAGTTGTATAATATAATGACTCAATAATTCCATCCATCACCCGGTGCTCATCACAACCAGCGAACTCTTTAAGCCCCATCACCTATTTCCCCCATCCCCACCTCCCCTCTGTTAACCATCAACTTGTTCTCCATAGTTAAGAGTCTGATTCTTGATTTGTCTCTCTTTTTTTCCCTTTTCCTATTTATTTTGTTTCTTAAATTCACATACGAGTGAAATCATATGGCATTTGTCTTTCTCTGACTTATTTCACTTAGCATTATACTCTCTAGGTCTATTCATGTTGTTGCAAATGGCAAAAGTTCATTCTTTTTATGGATAAATAATATTCCATTACACACACACACACACACACACACACACGTACATAGTATGCATTCTTTCCTGCTTTGTCACAGGATAATTGACCATATAATTGTGGGTTGATTTCTGGGTTTTCTATTCCATTCTATTGATCTATGTTTCTTTTTCTGTCAGTACCATACTCTTGATTACTGCAGCTTTTTAAAAATTTCTTTTTAATGTTTTATTTATTTCTATGAGAGAGAGAGAGAGAGAGAGAGCGCGCGAGAGCATGAGCGTGAGAGGGGGAGGGTCAGAGAGAGAGAGAGGGAGACACAGAATCCGAAACAGGCTCCAGGCTCCAAGCTGGCAGTCAGCACAAAGCCCAATGCGGGGCTTGAACCCATGAACCATGAGATCATGACCTGAGCCAAAGTCGGAGGCTTAATAGACTGAGCCACCGAAGTGCCCCTGCGGCTTTGTAATATAACTTGAAGTCTGGAATTGTGATGTCTCTCTCCAGCTTTACTTTTCTTTTTCAAGATTGCTTTGGCCATTCAGGGTCTTTGTGGTTCCATACAAATTTTAGTTATGTGAACAGTGCTGTTGGTATTTTGATAGGGATTGCATTAAATGTGTAGGCTGCTTTGGATAGTATAGACATTTTAACAATATTTGTTCTTCCAATCCATGAGTATGGAATATCTTTTCCATTTCTTTGTGTCACTTTCTGTTTCTTTTATGAATGTTTTATTGTTTTCAGAGTATGGTCTTTCATCTCTTTTGTTAGGTTTATCCCGAGATGTCTCATTGTTTGTTGGTGCGATTGTAAATGGGATTGTTTTCTTAATTTCTCTTTCTGCTGCTTCATTATTGGTGTATAGAAATGCAACAGCTCTCTGTACCTTGATGTTGAATCCTGTGACTTTCCTGAGTACATCTATCTGTTCTAGCAGTATTTTGGTGGTCTTTCAGGTTTTCTACATATCTCATTTTGTTCATTTTTGAAAAAAAATGTACCAAAACACAAGTTGGAATAACCATAGCTTGTCAGTTGTTCTTTCGAATAAAAATGGTGTTCCATGTAAGGAGTAACTAGTTCAGTTCTCCACTCGATCCTACAAATGCTTTTTATTTGAGATGAGGACTGGGCTTCAGTATGCAGCAGAAAACGTGTACGTCTCAGTCACACAGAATATTAAAAAGATATGTCCTCAAGGGTGGAGATTTAATCAAATTAATGATTTCCACTGGCTCATAAGAAACACTTGTAAGTAAAAGTAGGTTTTTTTTTTTTTTTTTTTTTACTGTGAGCGTGTGGTGAGGAAAAAACTAAAATGACTATGAGTTCAATTTGATGCTAATATTTTGATTCATGCAGCATCAGCAGTTTTGCCCACCATTGTGCAAATGTCAACCCACTGAAAAAGACAAATAATGTCTTATTATTATAAAAATATTTTGACCTTAGGGACCCCTGAAAGCGTCTGAGGAGACCCCAGGTGATCTGTGGACCCTACTTGGAGAAGTGCTGGACTACAGAGTCAGGAATAGGTGGCAGCTAGGACTGGGGAGGTATCCCCTGCTGTGGGATAACCTGCTTCCGGCCACGCCCCCACACCCTCCACAAGGCTGGGCCTTTGCTGCTCACCCAAAGGGCAGCATCCAGGCCTGTGGGGGCTGAGGTGGGGGTGCTGTGTGTGCTGGGGATAGAGATACTCCACCCGGAGGCCCAAGTAGCTTTGCCGGGTTAGACGACACAGCCTTCAGAGAGCGGGGGGTGGAAAGTTAAGCAGAAATTGCATGGGCAGCAGTTGCTAAAGAGAAAGATCCAGAAGGGCCCTTGAGTGGGCTGTCTTTTTAGCAGACACTCCCAGGAGACTGGCTATAGGTGCGTTGACATGGCTCTGGGCTCAGGCGCTGGTCCCCGCTTGGCCCCTGGTCGGGACCTCTTAGGCTCCATTTTTCCTTCTGGAGGTGCATAGAAGGGGAGGGTCTGCAAATGAGGACAAATCTCCCAGTGTAAGCTCATAGACCTGAAGAGGAGTCAGGAATTCATCTTGAGGATCTGGATTTGGTTTCATTTTATTTTAAAGTGCTACATGGGGCACCTGGGTGGCTCAATGGGTTAGGCACCTGACTTTGGCTCAGGTCATGATCTCATGGTTCATGGGCTGGAGCCCTACGTCGGGCTCTGTGCTGACAGCTAGCTCAGAGCCTGGAGCCTGTCTTCAGATTCTGTCTCCCTCTCTCTCTGACCCTCCCCTGCTCACTCTCTCTCTCTCTGTCTCTCAGAAATAAATATAACATTAAAAAGATAAAGTGCTACATACATCTTACTTGTGTATGAAGCAGAAGCCTCATATATGTGACCCTGAGTGATTCTGCTGTCTGATGGTTCACGGTTCTCACTTCCAAACCTGAGTTTGGTCCGTTCCATTCTGCCTCCCACCAGAAATTCTTCACACCCTCCTCTTCCACCCTCATGTCAGTCCACTTCCCTCCTCTGTTTTAAACTTGGCTCAAAATTCACCTCCCTAGGAAATTGTTCTCCGTTTCTCCAGCCCTCCTCAGCAGAAACTACTCTCGGACTCATTTCTAGTTCCCTCAGTGCTCACAGTAACAAAGCTACCATCTTTGAGCAGCAGTTTGTGTTGGGTGCTATGCTGAGTATTTCGTGTGTGGTGTTTCTAATTCTATTTTTTAATATTTATTTATTTATTTTGAGAGAGAAAGAGACAGAGAGTGAGTGCACAAGCGAGAAAGGGGCAGAGAGAAAGGGAGAGAGGGAGAGAATCCCAAGCAGGGTCCGTGCTCAGCATGGAGCTGGATGAGGGATTTAATCCTAGGACCCCGTGAGATCATGACCTGACGCAAAATCGAGAGTCAGCTGTTTGACTGACTGAGCCACCCAGGCGCCCCTTTAATTCTTATAATAGGAGTCCCTCCCCCCACCCCCTGACTCTTGTTCTGGTTTTAAAGTCACAGCAATCAGTCAAGTCTGTTAATTTTACCTCTAGTACGGAACTTGTGTTTGTTCTCTCTTCATTCCCATTCCAGCGTCCTAATCCAAGACTTGCCTCCTGGCTGGACTACAGCACAGCCCCTTTCTACCCACTCCCAGATCCCACGCACTAGAACAGAAGCTTCTTAAAATTTTTTAATGTTTATTTATTTTTGAGAGAGAGAGAGAGAGTTAGTAGGGGAGGGGCAGAGAGAGAGGGAGACACAGAGTCTGAAGCAGGCTCGAGGCTCCCAGCTGTCAGCACAGAGCCTCATCCAGGGCTTGAACTTATGGACCCTGAGACCATGACCTGAGCTGAAGTTGGATGCTCAAGTGACTGAACCACCCAGGCATCCCTAGAATGGACGCTTCTTGAGGGCAGACCTTGCTTGTCGTGTTCAAGTCTCTGTCCCCAGTGCCCA